GGTCATGAAGAGCAACAGAAGAGGCAGCTTTCAGAAAGCAGAATGTCTGTACCATCTGTGGTCAGATCTTTTATGTCCAGGGTTATGCTGCTATTAATTTGAGCCCTCCCCTCTAAAGTGACTCAGATAAATTTCATGATTTTTTACCAAATTCTAATATTTAAGTCACAGTATACTATTGTATGCTTCTGCAGTAATTTCCTGAGGAATTGCTGGGGAGAACGTTAGGAGTTTGCCTTTGCCAAGCTTAAATTCTAGTTACATTACTTGAACCTTTATGAACATACAGTAAATATAGATGAATATCATCTGTTTACTATTCTCAATTTTGTCTTAAAAATCCAGACATAATCTAAATTTTTATTAACCCTGTCTAAATGTGCAAGCTGGGAATCAGTCCAGAAGCGAGCAGAGTAAGAAGTCTGCTCTGTGTTTGTGCAGTTCCTGTGTAACAATAGAAATACTGGGTATACGAGCCAGTATAAAAAAAATCTTAGTATTTGGGAGAAAAAAAAATCTAGAAATATCTAGTAAAAATATCGTATTTGTACAAACCTAGATAATGACCATGGTACCAAACTTACTTTTGTCAGTAATACGAATACAAAAAGTACTTGTAAATGCATTTACAGTTAAACAGTATTCGTTCACTCTAAATTATGTAAGATTAGACTAAATTCAGTGAAGAATATACCTAATTTAAACACATACTTAAACACTTGTTTTGGTGAATGAAAATGAACAAAAGCATGTCTAAGGGCTTTATAGCATTCTGGAGCCTTGCTGGTGAATTTATGAAGCACAGGTGAAGTGAAATGATAATATTTCCTGTTAGTGTAGAGAAACTAACTTTCCATTTTCATGAACATATTTCGATTTAAATTCACACAACATAATCTCAATCTTTTGTTCACTTCTTTAGAATTATATTACTAAATCTAAATAAGCAGAATTTTTTACATTGGCGTCCTTTTAAAATATTTTAGGGGAGACAGGTTCATGCATTGCCTGTTTTCAGTTTGGATTTCTGTGTGAGGTCCAAGTGGATTTCTCTATGTAAATCTAAAGATGTTTTTTCTGAGATGACCAAATGTATATTGCTAGTGGTTAAAAGAATAACCCAGCTTTTCTTCTAGGGGTTTTTTCATTCTTGGAGATGTAAGTAGGTTCTCTTGGATTATCGTTGGGCCTTAATTAAGTTTATTAGTAGCAGCTTATGATTTTTGTTTCATGTTGAGAAGTGTTACAAGGTTTGGAGACATATGTAGTTTGAGTACATTTGTTCTTCATATTTTCTTCCCAGCGGCTGTTCTTATTTCACCAAACTGTTACATTCCAGCAGTAGTTTATGAGTTTGCATGTTCAGTAGGCTTCTGGTCATGTAGCTGAAACCAGTGAGCTGGTGCAAGCTTCTGAATGTTCAGAATTTTATGTTGCGTTAGTGACAGAATTTTCACCTTTTATTTTATAGTCTGCATACTTGGCAACTAAGGTTAATCTCTGCTGATATCTGTAGTCCACAGACAGTATAGCCTGCAGTTCCTTTCATATTCATGGAGGTTTATATTATCAAATATTCTGGGCAAGTGATTTTTTCCCTTTGTTCTTTGTAAGAATTTACTTTTAAGCTTAATCGTTTTATAGAAACTTAATTTTTCTATTGCATATCAGTATTGGGTTTGGGTTTTTGTAGTGACTTTAGCTATATTTTTAATAATGCTCTATTGTTAATACATGAAGTTTTTTTCATCTTTCCTAAACTGTAAAATATGCAAACATTAGCAGAGTATTTTTTACTTTTTCATAAATGTTTTTATTCCTTGCAAGTATGATGTTGTGGCAGTCCAGCTTAATCTTTTTGCACAGTCATAGCTGCCCAACATATAACGCGATTATAAATGCAGAGTTCAATAGAAAATATTTATTACTTTTCTTTATAAAATAGCTTCTGAAGGTCATAGTAAAGTTAAGCCACATATGTGGGGATATATAATGGCAGATGTGAGAGACACAGAATCATCTTTCCACAAATGCAGTAGCAGTATCATAAAAATGTTGGATATATTTGAAACAGTCTCATCCTTTCTCTCTGTACTGTACATTCTCCTTGGTTTTGAAAGCTGCTTAAAGTAAGCTTTCTTGGGTTTCTCTATAGGGCTATTCAGATGTGCTTGGAGGAACAGTTCAAACAACTTTCAAATTGACAATAGTCTTGAAGTGGCAAATAGTCTTAAAGTGGCAAAGCAATCAGCATATCACAGGTTTTTAATATTCAGTAGTTTTACAGAGCATCTTCACCAGCACACTGCAGAGAAGTCAGCCGTACTGGAAATCTGCTTCATTATCTCTGGCTTGTGTTTGTTTGTTCTTTTTAACTAATATAATAGCTTTTCTGCAATGTCTAAGACCTAGTTGAACTTGTTGTTGAACCTGCTTAATATACAGGACAACATTACTATTTTCATTTTACCAGTGAGTTTCAGTCACAGAAATATCAAATGTTTTAATCAAGGAAACCCACATTAGCAGTGGAACCGTATCACCTGAGTCTTTCTGATGCTTTATATGCAGCCTGTAAAAGTGACAAGGGACGAATCAGCCTGAAGACAGTGCTAAAAGACTTTCTCCTTTTTGATATAGAAAAAAAACCCAATTGTGTTTTTTCCTCTTTTAAGAGAAGAAGGAATGAAAATTCTTAAATAACCCACCACCTGGTAGTTTGGTAATGAAATCTGAATAAAGTGGATGGAGAAAAGAGGAACAAGCTACAAATGGTCTTACTAAAGCCTAACAGCAGAGACTGAATTGATATGAAGATTTTGCAGAAAGGATATTTTTCCTAAGGATTCTGCAGTTCGACATGTAAGCTGAGGTTAAGAAGCTGTTGGTAATGGTGCTCTGAGACAGCTACACAGAGGCACAGAGCTCTTGGTATTTGTAAGGTCGACACCAAACTGGAATGGAGACAATTGGTTTAGCTTCATTTGATGGCTGCCCTTACTTTTTACGTGTTCCAGATATGTGGATTCTGATTTTTATGACAAAGCTCTTTATTCTGTAAACCATTTAGTAGTGAATGGTGAAGAATTATTCTTTCTTTTTCTTTTTTTTTTCCCCTATAAAATGATTATACAAAAAAAATTTCAGAACAATTTTCACCTTGCTTTAGGGCAACTGATTTTTTTTTTTTTTTTTTTTTATCTGCAGCCTTTTAGAGGAGGCCTCAGGAAACTTGTAACTGATTTCATGTGTCTGTATTGCTAATGTTACTTTTAATCTTTTTTTATGTAACTGTCTATACAGTTAGGTGTAGTTATGTAGCATGAAAACATCCTCGTGTCATGACAGGCTTCACCCTAGGGTGAAGTGTTTTTCTTTAAATAATAAAATATCATAACTCAGTTTATTTCATTATGTTTACGTATCTCATATTTTAGTCCCTTTTCTATCTAAGCCCATGTCCTTCGCAGTCTAGACAGTACTGTAGCTCTTAAAAAATGTCATCATCCTTTTCTGTGGATGCTAGCTCTTCTCCTTTTTCATTTATTTTCATTTTACTTTTTCATATTTTGAATACAAATGGGTCAACATCACTGTATTCTCAAAGACATTTTTCTTCTCTTTTTGTGTGTATGCATGTGTTATAGATTCCCATAGCATAGGGGCTCACATCAATAAAATAACTTGGTTAACGTCCTCTGTGATCCAGGTTCTGCAAAGATTTATGCGAAGTGGAACTGTGTGTGTACAAAACGCTAAGCCTGTAACTAAGCCTTGTAGGATTTTGCTTCAGATCTAGTTCTAAATATTTGCAGAACTGAGTCTTGAATTTGGCAGATACTACCTTTGAAGAAAAAAATTGTAATATGATTACTTCTCAAACACCTACACATAAGTGCTTTTACAAGTTTATGAAAACATATTGCTGAAAAATCTGGGGTCACCAAAAGTTTACATGTGTTTATTGTCCTATGAAACGTTCTGGGGGAAAAAAAAAAAGGGTTTGGGATTTTTCCAGTACTTAAAGTGTAGTTTGTGTTTTACTTTATTACCACCAAATAATGAAATCAGCTTTGCAGTCCTTCCTGTAGTTACTTCTGGAACAGAAGTGGTGCCATAGAGATACCAGTAAAATGTAATGTAATGCAATGTAAAGGATTTATTTGAAAAACTGTAAGGTAATCATTAACAGAGGAGTAAATTAGTTTTTAGCATATAGTGTAGAGGGTTTTTTTGTGCTGTTCTGCTTGAAAATGCCTATGATTATCTGCTTTGAGAGTACTTAAAAACTATATGAAATTTCCAGTCTTCTAGATAGACACTGCAGATGTCACACTGTTGATGCAATTGTAAATGCAAATTTAATAGTAATATTAACTTTTAATTTCATGCTAACATATCCATAATATAGGTACTGTATTATGTAAGATGTTGCATAGTGTTTTGGAATTTAACTAACAGTGTTTGGTTTTACTTTTAAACATCTCCGGGAAAGGTTTTGTGCACTTTTTTTATGCTATCAGCATGGATCTAAGCACAAAAATATTGTTCAAGGAGTTAATTCCCATTAACCCTTTCAACCACCAGATGTGTTTCTACCATATGTCATATTTGATGCCTGCGTGCCATGGTGATTTAACAGAAGTGCATTAAGTGTGGTATGAGAGTCCAGATGGCATGAATGTTCTCCTTGTGTATATATACTAATGTATAAGATACTCAAATTATCTAAATACGTTAGCAGCTTATTGTAGTTATATTTTTCAGCTTTTTGTTGCAACTGTTACGATTTTATTGATAATCTTAATTTTGCAGTTTAAATAGGCACCTGATATAGTTCTGAACTGTGGGAAAATATCATTCTAATGACCTGGCTTATTAAACATATAATAGTTTTTTTTATTCCATGCACCAATCCTCGAATGTTTGGAAGAAACTGTTTTCAAATATTTTGAGAAGACTTATTTTCTTACTTTGAAAAAATCCTGTTCTTATTGCAGCTGGTTTTAGAAGAAGCTTTCGTCTTAGCAGAAAAGATAAAAAAACAAACAAATCTATGTATGAGTGCAAGAAGAGCGATCAGTATGATACAGCAGATATTCCAACATATGAAGAAGTTGCAAAATATAGACGACAACCTAATGACAAATACAGGCTTGTAGTTTTGGTTGGTAAGTTGTTTTCTTTATTTTTGACCTGGTAAAACAGAGAACTACTGATTAGCACAATGCTTACCAGAAAATCATTTAGATTGGAAGGGGTGTCAGGAGGTCACCTGGTCTGGCCTCCCACTCAGCAGGATTAACACTGAATTCACAGCAGTTTGGTGATGACAACAACTTTGGGAACCTGTCTTTCCACCAGGTCTTCTCTTGCCTTCCCACCACACACCTCATTAAAGAAGTGGCCTTCATCTTCTCAACAGGTATCAGAAGGGTGTTGGTGGGTCCTCCTGAAGACATCTCTTCTCCAAGCTAGACAGCCCAATTCCCTCAGCCTCTCCTCACAGGTCATGTGCTTCACCTCCCAGCCATCTTGGAGGCCCTCCACTGGCTTTGCTCCAGTTCATCAACACCTTTCTTTTAGTACAGGGCCCATCGTGGACAGAGTATTCCTCACAGGGTCTAACGAGTGCTGAGTAAAGGGGAAGAATCATTTCCCCTCTTTCTACAGGCTGGGCTCTTGCTGATACATCCCAGTCTTCTGTTAGCCTTCGTTGCTGCCATGTGGACTCATGCTTAGCTCACTGCCCACCTGGACGCCCAGGTCCTTTTCATCCAGGCTGCTCCCCAGCCAGTCAGTCTCTGGCCTGTACTGCTGTGGGACTTAAGTCTATCCCAGATGCAAGACTTTGTCCTTATCAAATTTCACAAAGTTCTACCAGCCCATGCCTGTAGCATTATCAAGGTCCCTCTGAATTGAAGCCCTGCCCTTGAGCAAGTCACTTGCATCACCCATTTTGGCATCTAGAAACTTGATGAGGGCCCATTCTCTGTCCTCCTCCAGGTTCTTGATACAGTTATGAAACAGAGTATGTCCCAGGGTAGAGTATGTCCCCGAGGAACTTCACTTGTAATGAGTCACCCAGTAGAGTACAGACCAATAACCCCTTCCCTTTGAACATGATCATCCATCCAGTTTTTCATGTATCTAGTAGTCCACCCATCTAGACCGGATGTCCCAACTTGCATATAAGGATGCTTTCGGAGACCATGTTTAAAGCATTGCTAAGAGGAGATGACATTCAAATATAGTAACCAAACATGGTTACTAGTCTGCACCTGGCAGCTGAGCTGTACTAAAACTCAAAAGAATTAGGTCAGTGTTCTGCTCTTAGAGATCAATCTAAGAAAAAAAGAACAGAATAAATACCTGTGGTCAGCCAAGACAGACTATATAAGTGGAAAGAAACAAAACCATCTATTGTGTTAGAATAAGTAAATAGAGAAGTAGAGAGAAAGGTGGATGAGAGGTTGACTTCTGTAGACCAAGAACGGATGTAAACATAGCTGCAGAAGACTCAAGATGTCATCCTTAGTCAGCTTTCTGTTCTGTAATCTGTCACTGCCATGGGTTCCCCACAGCATTTATTATCTAACCAAAATGCATTGCTTCAGTCTCCTAAAAAAAGAGAAAGTACATGATCTTAAATGTTTCAAAGGTAACTATTGGAGTACCAATGAGTAATGTCTCATTGCTTATTGTTTCTTTTGCAGTAGCACATAGGTTGATGCTTCATTAGTAAAGTTTCCTCCATTCTGAAAGCAGCAGAGCAGAGAAACATGACCCTCTATCAGGGACTGTTATGAACTGTTGAGTAGCTGTGTTTTTATATCGCTCATATCCAAGGGAACATTAAATTTAGTTTTTAATAAACAGTTTTGTCACTCTCCAGCACTAAAATTCAGCCACCTACTAGTGTGATCACTGTGAGATTGTGGGCTATATACAACAAGTAATAACATGGTTGAGTTGATTTTACACTTACATCAACAGAGTGCAGTGCAAAAGTGCGATAAGTAGACTTTTTATAACAAATTGCATATGTCTGATCTAAGGAATACCTAGAGATTTCATTTGATTTTTATTGTAATAAATCAAATGAAGAAAGTGTGCTTTTTCAGTAACAAAAGCAGTTCAGAAACTTATTGCAGACTTCAGTAATTCTAATGTTTTTCTCTGGATATTAAGAGCAGCTTAAGTCTGGCCAATACCATAAAAATGTCTTGGGCAAAATGTGGAAAAACTAGCAGAGCTAAGCAATGCAGGTATAGTCGAAGCGAACACATTTTAAAAGCTTTTTGTGTGCCAGTAGCAGCATTCAATATAATCCATCAAATATAATTTGGGTATTAGTATCAGGAAACAAAGGGACAGATAATTAATTTATAGCTGTAATTGGTGGGGGCATTAAATGTCTGTTGTGTTTTGCTAGGCCTAAACGTATAATTTACTGTTGGAAGGTTTTTTTAGGTTTTGTTTTACCCTTTTTTAAGGGGAAGGAGTTTGACAACTTTGAAGTGGAAATTTCTTTTGGCTTCGTTTTAAATTGGTCTGGTCTAATTTACAGAATGCAAATTGCACACACAGTAATTTTTAGCACCCTGTAGTGTGATATATACTAGTCTCCAGTTCAGCTAGATATATTAGTTTGTCAAGATTTTACCTTGTCTGCAATTGTAGGTTCATGAATAAAGTCCTGCGTATCCTTGCGGCTAAAATAACACATCATCTGAAACAGTAATGATACAGATGCTTCTGCTGTGCTTTTAGTATTTATGACTGTGATGAGTCTGCTAAAAACAAAATTATGCAATATCATGTCACCAGTCTTCTGGTAACTTACTGTTCCCAGGCTGCCAACAAATCCTTGAAGTCTTCCTTCAGAAATATTGCCTGCATCCTAAGCATGATACCTTGCAGCCCTATCAGGCAAAGGCAGAATATTTTAATATGAAACGTATTATTTAGACACTAGAATTTTCATTTACATTAACAAGGAATAAGTCCTGCTCACAAAGGCTTCTGCTTCAGTAATTGTGAGGGCCAGACTAGCACAGATTTTATTTCCTAAGAGTGAAGTGGATGAGCCACATACTATAACTTTACACAGTGTAGTATCAGCTAAGTCAGAGCTTTGTGAAGGGGCAGTGCTAGGATAAAGCAAGGTCAGCAGTAACAAACCATGAGCGTGTCCCCCAGAATGCATGCAGTTATGTGCATGCAGTGTTCTCCCCAGAGGCATGCAAAGCCTTTCAGATGCTGTGGTCACCCATGGTGATGCATCTGTCCTAAGTGGGCAGTGGTGGAAGCAATGACCAGAGGTGTGTAACCACAAAGGAGCCATTATTATTGGTGTGTGAGATAATCAGAAAAGGCTCTCTGTCTCTGAATTAGGCTGTCGGTACACCCCACAATGGTGTCCTTCTGGTCATCAGTGCAAAGAAAAGGAATCTGGAACTGGAAAAGTTCTCTACTGTAATATTGCTTACATTTTTTAAATATCCATCACCTCTGGTTTTATCGTGGAGGAGGTATGTGGAGACCAGGTCTGTCTCAGAGCAAGGGAGGATGAAATGGAAGTGGCTTTTAGTTTTCTACATCTCCTGACTTACCTTTGATGTTCAGTAGTGGCTTGCAGAGACTTAATAGATCTACAGCAGTAGTGCAGGAAAATGGCCGACCATGGCCATGCTACTTCAAGTAAACCATCTGGACAATGACAAGAGAGACCTAGAATTGCTATCTTCATTAAACCTTCCTGGTTGAAGGCATGGATAGGTCAGCATGGCTCAGGAATGAACACATAGGATGCAACATATTGACTAGCCTTGCCCATGAGAACAGCAGTATAAAATCACTGATCTGCTTCAATGAACAGCAGATCTAGAAGTACACTCCCCCTGCTAGTTGTAATTTACTGTAACACAAAAAAATGAGGTTCTGCTTTCCACCAGGTATCTCATTGAGCTACAGCTGGACATGCAGTCATTGCATTACAGTGGTCAGCTGTACTAGAGAAGGAATAACTGAGCCACAGAACCTGGGTCCAGGTGTGTTTTCTACAGGGTCTTTATGATCCCAGCAGGGATGTTGTCACCTAACTCCCAAAATCTTTTCTGAAAGACCACTTTCTGTTGGTTTGTTTTTGGTTTTTTTCTTTCAAATAGACTTCTAGGAGGTCAGGATGTATCTATGGGTGAAGAATGGCTGGTTGGGTTAACCCTCCTGAGATCTGAACTTACATCAAACAATTTTTTCAGTTTTCTTCAGACATGTCTGAATGGTACAAAACTTAATGCAAGTTTTAAGGATTGGTGGTTTAATTCTGAAAGTGTCCCTTAATACAGAAAGGTAGGCACTACAGCCCATTTGTGCAGGATTCGACCACTCAACATGCAACTGCAAGCAACATAAATGCTCCTTTAAAAAAATAAACAAAATATCTCTAAATCTGTCGCCATAACTCTAAATATTGCTGCCTGGGGTGACTTATAGTAAACCAAAACTATGCTACAGTCATGGATCCCGCATGCCTGGCATTTTACTATAAGAATCTGGATTGCCCTTTCCAATCCTGATGCTTTATTCTCTTCTCGAGTTCAAATCGTGTTCAGATTCATGATTATTAGAAACGGTCATCTTTCTCTGTTGCATCAAAATAAAAAGAATATTCAGAATGGAAGTGTGCATTACACTCGGGAGATATAGTGTAAAAATCAGCATAATGGATGGCATTACTAATTAGGAATCAGCCTTCAGCATCCATATGCTACAGTTACGAGAACTCTGTGAAAACAGCACTGAAAAAGAAGAATCTACACCTTCCAGTAGTTAAATTTAAAGATGATTTTTAAATGGTAATCTGGAAGGGGAGACAGAGTAATAGTGAGGTTGTGGTCTGGAAACAGATTTGATCTAAATTTCCAAAGCATCTGTTGCAGGAAGCGAAGCCTGGATTCTTTATATATAAATAGAGCTAAAAGCATATTGTTGATTTGACAGTGTGTAGACAGAGGAAATAATATTTGTGTAGATTTGATGGGGAAAATCTTTTGCTTGAAAGGAATACAATGCTTTTTTTTTTTTACTTGAATTCCATTTGTTTCATTCAGCTTTGCTATGACATATCGAGAATTTTAATTACGTGTCCTATAAAAATCCATATTTGCGTCAAATAGCTATACTATTAAAAAAGGAAAAATGTTTTTTCAAAAAATAAGAACAAAAGTAATGCCATTATCTACATGACACATTGCTTTCCTCTGCAGACATGCACCAGTAGAGGCTGCTGTACACCATATTAAATAAACATTTATACATACTGATAGATTAATTTACAGGCAGGTCAGAGATGGAACTTGAAATGTAGTTGTGTGTTTAACTTACGTAAACATATAAAAATTATAAATGCAGAAACCCTAAGATTTTACAGAGGGACCATAGTCTGGGGATAGTAGCAAAGTAGCAAGCATTTGCTTTTCATCAGTATGTGTTTCTAACTTCAGACAGGGCGGATAGTCATTTTTACAAATAGCACCTGAAGGTGCTGAAGCATCAATCTTTGCTTTTTGATACCAGGCTGTCCCTTGTAATTAACCAACATACCACTATTTCATTAAAATGTTTATTACGTTTTGTATTTGTGATGTCTAAATTGTCTCTGTTAAAAAGCACTCCATGCATAAATGTATCACTTTTACTAGAAGAGCAGGAATTGTCCTTAAAACCACATGTATTATCCTTGTATTATTTGGGATATGGTTTCAATGACTCACTCTCCCCTGCGTTCTGCTGTTGACCTGGCTCTGCAGAAATGAATCCACGGCGCTGTCGGAAATGCCTGCGCACGCAGAGCTGAGCTCCCTCCACATGCACGACCCCATGGCCCCACCACCCCAGGGGCCAGGCAGGCTGGAGCCCTGCGCGATGGGCTCCTGGGGGCCGCAGCGATTGCCCACGGAGCCTCTGAGGCCTCACAGGACAGAGTGCCCTCGCTGATACCTAAAGCACCACTGGCAAACGGCTGAGAGTTAGGGACGATCTGAAAAACAAGAGGAACATCTGCTCAGTAGCTTCTAGGACAGCAGTACTCAAATGGAGACAGGTCAAAAAAATTTGTGCAGTCTTTGTTTCTTCCTGCCATCCTCTTTCCAAGAGTGGTCTCTCTTTGGCAGCCGTGTGAAGAAGGAAACATTTGCTTTGGACCAGTTCAGACAGCAGGCAGGAGATGAGCATAGTTTAAAAGAAAATCAACAACAAAAAAAGAAACCCAGACATCCCAAACGGGTTGTGACCTGGGGAGTGCTGCCCTTCCTTCCCCTCCCTGTGTGATGCCACCCTGGCCCAGTCAAAAGGTGGATGGTGACAGCTAGAGCCAGCCGGAGGCCAGGCAGCATTCCTACCTGCCGCTGGGGCTGGAAGGAGCAGCGCTCCCAGGGTGTGGGGAGAAGGTGGGAGCAATGCTCCTCAGGGGAGGCTGGTGCAGACAAGGGATGCCGCAGCTGGAGGGAAAGTGAGGAAAAGGCCACGATGACACATGGGGTGCAGAGGCTTTGGGGGGGCTTTGTGCATGCCAGCCGGGGCCCTCTAGTCTGTGAGCTGGGGATATTCTGGCCAAATGAATAGCCAAACCAGTTTTTGTGCTGGAAAGCTGCAGGTGAGGGTGCAGGGGTCTGTAGGAGGGCTGAGGATGGAGATAGGCCTGTATTGTGGGTAGCTGCTGTAGAAAAGAAAGTTAGCTTTGCTGTCAACTTTTTCGCTGATTTTTTCCTCGGTAGTCAAGTCAGAGCAGAGTAACTGCCAACTACATCCCCTGAAATTTGTCAGTGCTGTATATTCTAGGAGAGGCTAGAACCACGGGCGTTTCCAAATGACTCTGATTAAAAGCCAATATATAGCGTAGCTATATGGTACGTCGTCTTACCTCGGAGAGTACTTATACCTGAAGACTAGAGAGAACTGGCTGTTGGGAAACAGCACGATTTTTTTCTTTCAGGTCCTGTGGGGGTTGGACTGAATGAACTTAAACGGAAATTGCTGATCAGTGACACCCAGCATTACGGGGTAACAGTGCCACGTAAGTAAAAACACACTTCTATTGTCCTAATGCTATGCTTACATTATTATCTTTTACTATTGCATTACCTTAAGGCACTTTCAAATTTGGGTCTCTAAATGCATGCTTGGCATCCAAATTACTTTTTTAATTTTTAAAAGTGCTGCTGCAGTTGTATTTTAAATAGCATTGATTAAACTGATAGGACGTTTTGGCTCAGAGGCATTGCAGTAGACTTTTAGTACAAGTTTAACATGATTGATGTCAGCGAGGTTTAGTAAATGAAACTCAGCTGAAGAACACCCTGGATTTGGCTGTAAAGCACTGAAACGTACTCTGTTACCAATGCTTGCTTGCAGCAAAATGGCCTTTATATGTTAGACAGCCTGAAAAATTAAGACTGATGATAAGCAGTTTAATCCTGTGAATAAATTAATTAAATCCCTTTGATTACCTTTAGAAAAGTTGATTTGGGGATTTTCTTCCTCTTTCCCCCTGTCTGACCAAGTAGGGTAACTTGTATAACATTGAATAACATTGTTCTATATTAACTTCTACGAGACTTTACTGGGTTTTCTTTAATGTGGAGAACTTGACAGTTTTAGTGAGACTTTCATTCCCTGGTTTACTTTCTACTTGTACCTGTGCCTCCTATTGGGATCATTACAAAAAATATGGGTCCAGCATTCTGAATGTCACAAGTTTTTGCAAATACAGGTATTCTATAAAGTATATATATGAATGAATTTGCTAGGTAGGAAAATGAATATATTTGGTTTTGGCAAGTCATTTCATTTGCACATATTTGCTTCAGCTGAGTATTGAAAACAACAACAAGAAAAGCCAGATGTTCCCAAATATTTAACACATTGAAGCATATGCAATCATTTGCCCAAAAATATTTCTTTAAAAATTGCCAGTATTCATCAAGCTGCCTTCTCTCTTTTCTCTTCCAAATTTGTGGTTATAATTTAAAACAAACACGTAAAGAAATCCTTCTCCCTGAAATTCAGTAAGTCAGGACTTGGAGGGAGAACTGGGGCTCTAGTCTTGGAAATGTTTCTCTTTGTGTCAACCTCAGAAGAGCGTGCCATCAAATGGCATTTGGGACTGCGTTTCTGCAAGCAGGTTGTGTATGTTCCTATGCGACAGAGAATGCATGATGCTGTAACATACAACTGGTGTTAAACGGGACTTTTGAATGGGTTCATTATTCGTAAGTGGCAACCCCACAAGTAAGTTTCATTTATAAGCAAAACCTTGTTGTACTTGAAAGTAAGAATTGCAAATGCTACATGGCTACTGAAAGAAAGAGGAATTGGGTTTTGATCACCAGAAAAAGAAAAGCAGTAAAACATAAAATTCACACCCTGTTTTTTTATTATCATGCTTCACATACCATAGCTGCAAGTGTTGTTAATGAATGTAACATTTTATAAATCAGGTTGGTGAGCTTTGTTTCCCTTTATGGTCTTGTATGCTAATAAGTTTAACAAGTGGCAAGGCTGGGGTAATTGTTACGGACTGCTGCTCCTTTTATTACTCAGCTGTCCTCATTTTATTGGATTTTTCCACTAGTTAATAAAAATGATCATCTGATACTTATCCAGTAAGTTTTTTCCTGCTTTTCCTGCATGCTTTTAAACTCAATCCTGTCATGTGCTTGAGTGCCGCCTACCAGATCCAGAGCAGCCTTATGTCTGTCAGAAGTGAGGGAACCGCTACACTTAGTATTGCACAAGGGTTGTGTGCTTTTCAGTGTTTCCTGAACTGGTTTGCATTATATTGTTTTGTGCATCTTTTCCTTTTTTTTTCATTTAATGAAACTGCAGACACTACCCGACCAAGGAGAAGCCAAGAAAGTGATGGTGTCGAATACATTTTCATTTCCAAGCACTTGTTTGAGACAGACGTACAGAACAACAAGTACGTTGAAGAGATTTTAACCAGAATTGCAGTTAAAACAATGGCTTTATTATAAAATGGAGCTGGTTATAATTTTAGATAATAAGTCAAAGTGGGTATAAGTTGCAGTGATTTGAAGATGTGTTAAAATTACGTTTTGATATATAAGCAGTTCAAAGCAGCTGGCAAAAACACAGAGCAAAAAAGTCGTATGTGCAAACACGAATGTTTCTAAGCTTCCAAGTAGTTTCAGTACTTCAGCTCATCAAGACGACACTGAAATGGTAGGTGTTCAGGACGGGGGAGCACTCCTTTGACAGGACATCGTCTGCCGTAGCAATAAAGCATTGCAGCTCGGGGGGGGGGGCCTGGAAGTGCTGCAAACGTGCCTGAGTCAATGTTTGTGTAGTTCTGCTCTCTTTCAGGCCAGGCACTTCCTCTGCTTTCAAATTTAGAGATCTACAGTGAAGCCCCTGCCTGTAAACCCGCCAGAAATTAAACTAAAATGAAGACAATGGTAGCATCGTGCTCTCCAGCAGCCTGTAAAATATTGTAGCTTGAAATTCTGCCCCAGTGTTTCAGAGGGCAAAAGTGTATTAGACACAAAGCTGTGGGTTTTATTGAAACTTCAAACTGTGCTTTGCTTTTTTGGCAAATAGCGCTTGTATTTTATAGCACATAACCAGCCGCCTTGGTTCCATTAGCACCATCGTCGCTCCTCCTCCTCTTCTGAGACAGAGAATTTGGATATTCTGTAGTGTGCAATGAAATTTCAGTAGTTTCTATTGTTTAGCTTATCCACTGTTTTATTGCATTGCATTAGTTCAGAAAAAGAGGTGATGGAAAACATTAGTGGGCTTTTGGACTACAGTACTTTTTTCTCTTTAACTGTAATACAAGCAGGTGTTACTGATTTGAAAGTGGTAAAGTCGAAGATTTCTTAAAATTGACATGCTGAAGTACTTGACAGCATTTCCTTTATAAAACATGGTAAAACTCTCATGTAAAGTAAAATATTTTTGCTCCTGAATTAGATCTCATAAACCAAACTGATAAGGTTTTTTTCTGGAGAAAATGGCAATTATTCCAGTTGTTTTCACCTTCTGCCACAGGTTTATCGAGTATGGCGAGTATAAGAACAACTACTATGGTACGAGCTTAGATTCTGTTCGATCCGTTCTAGCGAAAAACAAAGTTTGTTTGTTGGATGTGCAGCCTCATGTAAGTAAGCACGTCTTTTGGACTCTTGTAGTTCCCTACATTGCATAGTGGGATTCCAGGAAAAAAAATTGTTTCTAAAAAGGTATATTTTATTCCACGCTGAATGACTGTTGAGTGGGCTTGCTGGGTACCTTTATCACAGCAAGACTCTCTGAAAGGAGGAGAGGAAGGAAGCTTCAATACATATTGGCAAGTATTCAGCTCAGTAATTAACTGAATTGTAAGCCTGCAGCATAATACCAAAGGTTTAATTACAAAATGCTGCTATATTTTCATTCATCTTTCTGCTGGTTTGGGTTAGAGGTTCTCTCTGAAACTTCAGTTTCAGAATGGCTTTGAGCTGCCACCCAGTCCAGCAACTCTCTCTCACAGGTTCAGCTGGACCGTTTGTGCAAAGGGTTTCCATGCAGGGTGGACACGAGTCAAGGAACGCACTAAATGTGATGTTGGCTGGATAATGGCTAAGAACATTCCTCTCTAAATCATTTGTTCTTGCATTGACCTTGTCTTTCAACCCCACTGAACAGCTCCACTGGGAGTTTTTATGCTACTAATAACCACAATGCTTCCAGGAGCTGGACTGGTTTGTTTAAATCCAGCCAAAGTATTTCTTCTCCAAGGGTGGCCAGCCTGTGACTTCTGAACCCCGGCAGCTTCCGAACAGTTCCCGGGGCAGTTTCGGACGCAGGGCAGTGCCACAGGAGCAGGGCAGGGGGGCTGCGCTGCCAGAGGAGCATCCAGGGAAGCCAGACCCCGCGCCAGGGCAGGAGGGGAGCTGGGCAGGGGCTCCTGGGGCTGATACTGCCAGGCTGCTCTGCGAGACCATTCCGTGTCCAGCACGGCCCTGTTTTTTCCAGTGAAGCACTAAATTCTCCCGGGGACCCAGGCTTGTGAACTGTTCTGGGATCCCGCTCTCCAACACAGCATTTTCCTGTGGGCCCTGGCAGTGTGAAAAAGACAGAAAGCTGCTGGCCGTCCCATCCCTGCTTCGCCCTGTGTGCAGTCTGAATTGTAGACCTGTCTCTAACTCCATACGTAGCATCACTCGACTCACTCAGGAAGAGTGAACAGTTATATAGCGGACACACAGTATGGAAGAAAACAAATCATTGACCTGTTGTGACCGAGTGTCACAGATACCTTTTCCTGCTACTTTTCATGGGTACAGAAAGTATTATTCCTGCTGAAATGTGTTGAACTTTTCCTTCCCTCCATCCTCCCGCTGCCAGTGGCACTGCAGTGCACAGCCCAGCCTTCGCTGGCCTGAGGGGGTTTACCAGCAGCCCCTGTGGAAATGGAGGAGTTTTCTTACTGTTCACACGAATTACATTAATCAATGCCAGTCACCAGGGTGGGATGGCAGTAAATGAAAAATAGCCTTCTAGAAGTGCTTTATGGGTTTATTTTGGTTAGAGGAGAGTTTCTTTTATTCCGGTAAATTCTATTGTGCGAAATAAACCAATTAATTAAAACCTTTCCTCTTCCCAGACAGTGAAACACTTACGGACATATGAATTTAAACCATTTGTTATATTTATAAAGCCTCCATCACTTGACCGTTTGAGAGAGACCAGAAAAAATGCCAAGATTATTTCAAGTAAAGATGATAAAGGAACCGCAAAACCCTTTACAGTAAGTATATTTAGATATGGTAAAACATGAGAACTTGTTAAGAGTTTTGTTGTAGTGGTTTATCTCGAAAATAACGGTGATCACTGGATCTCATCGACAGTACTTGTCAGGGCTTACACATGGTATCTTGTTGTTTCCCAACATCTCGCACATCTCAAATTTACCGTGGCGTTTCCATTGTTTGATATGCTCATGGGTATTTACGTTTCCGTGCTCCACTGATTTTATGTCATTGAAGAACCCCAACAACACAAGTATATTTTTATGAGAAATAACGCTGTGGATTTCCTTTAAAAAATTTGTATCTGGGCTTAGATGTTCAAGTATAAGATTTTCCTTGTTTTATCAAGTGTATTATTGGGTCTAAATGTAGAGGAAAGCTCAAATATAAAGCATCAATTAAAAAAGTAAATGCTACTTTAATAAAAAGCCCGTATTTGTGGATAAGAGACATAGGGAAATGAACACCGTAAGAAAGAAGGAGAAAAATCTAAGCAAGTAACAAATGCTGCTTTTTGTCAATAATCAGAAAAAAATATTAGTCAGATTACCCAACAGTAACTTATTTACTTCATTGAAATATAATGAAATCACATTTTAATTGAAGCTAAAGCAAATCTGATCATCGTTAGATTTTCTGTCTACATTTATGGTGTGTATCATTTTCCCTCATTCAGATGTTATTTAGGATTTTTTAGATATTGTTGCAAACTGAGTCACAGATACAGTCACAGATGGTATGTGTGTAGAATATGCATTTGAAATAGTTTGGAAATAATGCGCTCTAAGAATATGTTCTATGGTATAGGAAATGTAAGAGGAGTTAATTCTTAAGAGCAACCTTCAGGACATTACTTAGGACGGGTTTAATCTCTCAGAGTTATGTAAACAATTAAATTCCTAGGGTTTGTTCCCTCCCCAAACATGAAGAGAAATCCACTGAGCCAGGTCGAACCAGGCATAGGAAGACAGCTTCTACCAAGCTCTTAAAAGAATAAGGGCTGCACTGTAATATATCATATGCTAATAGTAAGCTGAGACTTAAGTAATGAAACTTTAAACGTATCATCAAAGTAAACAGCTAGAAACATTTTCCACTGGTACTGCTAACAGAAAATGTCTCTGTAATTACCCTGCAGTGACTAATTGTGTCACTGCAAGGGGAGAGATGAAAGAATTGCCTGTTGAGCAAAGTCTACTCATGAGAATGCTCTCTGAGATCACTTGTAATGGTAATTTCTATGTTTTTTTAATTAAAATTACAGTTTCCATCTCCCGATGAGATGAGAAACAAGCGAGTAGCTTTGCGTTTACACAGAATGAGTTATGTGATGTTGCTATGGACTGACTATGCTTTGCACTGATCTTACTAGGAAGAAGATTTTCAAGAAATGATTAAATCTGCCCACGTGATGGAGAGCCAGTACGGCCACCTTTTCGATAAGGTGATAGTCAATGATGACCTCGCTACCGCTTACAGCGAGCTTAAAACAACTTTTGACAGGTTGGAGACCGAGACCTTCTGGGTTCCTGTCAGCTGGCTACATTCATAATAACGTCTTCAATAGCCGAAACATCTGCTGTTGTCTCAGCATCTAAATACGGGGCATGGTTAGGCATTACTCGATGGCCGTTTTCTTGGTAGGAGGGCTTTCTAACTCTACCTGAGCGGCAGGTACACTCTTCACGCACTTGGAACTGGTCTTGTTCTCCTGAGTCTTCAATCCTCCTGCCCACAATTTTGAGGCAGAACAGTCAGATTAAACCGAAGTCTTACTATGCTCCATAAAGTGAGCTAATACTAGTGTAACAAAACTGCCAAACGCCTCTTTATCATCAGCTGTGTATTTCCAAGGTAAGATTTTTTTTAACGGAGAGTTTGCAGAAGACATTAATTAGTACTGGAGATCAGCACCTTGATGGTTTTAAGCATAACTGTTCCCATAAAGAGCACATCAGCACTTGGAAGTTATTACCCCTTAAGTGAACTGAAACAGGCAAAAGTGACCAACATTTTTATGAGGAAGACATCGTAGTTTTAATTACGTATCCAGATAAGTGTTTTTACTTTTCTAGACGTGAACCTTGTCTTATATGTACAGAGTGATTTTAGTATTCCTTTGCACTTACATAGTCATGGAAAGAAATGTATTCAGTGGCTTAATTGTGAAATACTCTGCTGTGAGCATGCATGGATTGAAAATATTTTCACGCATGCTTTGTGGCACAACAAAGAAAACTCACGGGAATATTTATTTAAATAGGGAAAAGTGTGAGTTACTATGTATATAACTTCAAAGTCTTTGGGATTAATCTTCTGTAAAATCAGTGGCAAAGTGATATGAATAGCAACAAAGTAGAGAGTACCTTTTTTTTTGTTCCTTTAAATTGATTTCGGACATTTTTGGCATCCTTTACAACAATTTTCCCATCAGAAATTTTCAAACAATTAGTGAGGAAACCTTGGAGATCTGGGAAGCAGTTGCAAGAGATTAATTCGTTTTATTGTTTAGTGTGTAGTGATACTTCTTAGTAGTGTAACAGATATTTTGTCTCCACTCAAAAATAAATTAATGCTGTAGACTTCACTGTCAACAATATCCTTGTCACTGGTCAGAGACAGTTGGAAACCTCATTTTAAAATTTGATGTGGCAGTGTAAGCAAATGTATATTAGATGATGTATTTTTAATATAGATAATTTGGTATTTTTCTTTATTTACTACTGATATGCAGGAAATGAGTACAGCTGTAAAGACCAAGTAACACCTGCGTGTTGTGTTGTGAATATGTCTTGTAAGTACAGAATGTGTATAGGAACTTGCTGACTTCAGATCATCACATCTGTGGCATTCAAACAGGAAACCCTTATTTCATGTTAATCTGTAAAGAGAATATAGCTGTCTTGTTTAAAGAAAAAAGAATTTAGTGAAACTTTATATATTTATGAAAGGGTTGAAAAGGGATGTTAAGTTTTTAGATTTCTTGTCAATGTGATCATTTACTAAAGAGATTACGAAGTCTGTAATTTGAAACGCTGTCTCTGTAAATGGAGCTCAACATTCCATGTAAATATTTTATTTCAGTTCATACGCGGATAAAGCCATCAGATTTTGCCGTTTTATTCTAAATGCGTATTTAATGTGTGGGTCATTGCGTTTGACTTAGAGTCGTATAAAATAAATGAAATGCAAGCAACAACAGCGAAATCCCTAGGAGTCTGGAAATGTTTATGCAAGAGTTACAGATGTACTGAATCCCAGTACGGATACACGCTCTGCCTGAATAGCTGTAATGTAACTTTTGCCAAATTTCACCATTTTCCTGGTGGACTTAAACTTTTTTGTACCATAAATCAAAATCTGTTGATTAAATTAATTGCATGGAGATTATGTGAGTTGGGAAAATGTTTTCTATTTTTTTTAATTACTGAAAATCAAACTATTTTTCAGGGGATCTGGAATTCAGCGGGTCTGTTTGCCTTTGCCTGCGAGACGCCGAGTGCCCTCGCCATCTCTTGCAACCAACCCAAACTGAGAGGGCACTCGGCCTCTCTCAGGATCTGGCCGTTTCCAGCAAGAGGGGCTTTAGTCCTTACTGGAACACTCTTAACGCTGCTTCTAACCTGGGCTCTCTCAGAACGTTAGTGTACAATAACGCTCACGTAAGGGACCTGCTTTTCTCTTTAAGAAATAGATGCTAGAATAATCTGCAAACTCCCTGGTAGAAACAGTTCTGGCTGTCCTGCATGCTGTTTTTCTTGTCCTTTTGAAATTAATTTAATTCCCATGCCTGGGTCGGTGTGGTCTACGAGGACCTTCTGCACCAGGGCTGCTGCGCTGGGCAGCAGTACGCAGCACGGTGCTTTGCTGCGTTCACAGAGACGCTGACCCTCGGATCCTCGGCACAGCCCTGGCAGCAGTCTCCTAGAGGGATGGCTGCCTGCCCCGTCTCCAAGCCAGGAGCTAATTCCTGAATTGTAACACCTGCAAAAGAAAGGGAATCACAAAAACATAAATCCAACCAACAGAGGAAAATGTGCACAGAGTCTTTCAGGAGTGAGAAATAGTTTTAATTAAATTACTGGATTGCTCTTGAAAATGAACATTATTGCAGTGTTACCCTCAAAAAAACCCAAAATCAAAGCCACTGGCTTCCATGAGGCAGGCAGAGATGATAGCAGGGCACGGCAGAAAAAATGTCTTAGCCCAAGAGTTTCAACAGGACAGGAGCCTGCTTATCGTGGTGGATGCTGAGCCCGTGTGCTGAATTGTTCTGGGGTACCGAGGGGGGGGGGGGGGTTGTTCCTTTGACTCCTGAGAATTTGGGAACGAAGACGACTAAACATGTTTCCAATATTCCACATATTCAGGTTGTGCTGTGTGGGTTTTTAGAGAACTGTATGTTTTGACAGTCAAGTCCAGATGTTTTTATTGTGTTTTAGCTGTTTGCCATAGTCAAACAAATGGTAGTATTTTTTAATATTGTACCAAGTTCTATACTTGAATTTGCCATCAGGTCCTTGGCTGACGTCTTACCTGAAATCTGGTCTTACCTTCTTATGCAAAACAATAAATTATTGATATATCACTGAAGGTGTTTTTTTCTTTATTGTAAATTGCACCATAACATATAGGCTCAATGACTTTAAAAGGTAAAATGCCTAAGTAGTAAGTTATTTCATAGGTCTCTCTATTAACTGTAAGGCTCCAATTCTCTTTAAATGGAAAAACAAAGCAACCTAGAACAAGGGCTAAAATTCTTAATTTTTCATTTTTTTTGCCAAATTCTCCTTCAAAATAAATGCTTACCCTTTCCTGCAGCCCACCCCAAAATAAACCATTTTCTTTCTGAGAGGGAAAGCTTAAGTCAGCGGGTCAAACAGAGACATCAGCTCGCCTGGGCTTGCGGAGTGCTTGGAGTGTTGTCTGAGGCATCGACGCCGAGCGTTCGTCGGTCACGCGTGCTCCCAGGCCACTCAGCTCCCATGGGAGGTGGTGGTCCTCTGGAGGATTCAAAGAAGGTAATGCTTAAACTAAGTTACTTTTTGCATTGTGTTATATCTTTTCCAGAAAAAAAGCCGAACACGTACTAGGATTAGAGAGAAGACTTTCAAGCCCCTTCTGTTTTGTTTCAGCGCAGTATTCTGCATTTCCCACATGCACTTAGGTTCAGGTTTCTACTGTGCGTGGAGAATTTTTTCCTCGGTAAAGCTCGCGTTTAGTTTTTGTGAGATTGTTTCAAAGGATGAACAGTTTCTTTGGAGATTTGGTCAAAGTTATAATCTGAGTCTATTTTTGCTACGGCTGTATCTACCGTCATTTCCCCACAGGATTAAGAGTTTTCTGTGTATCAGTGCTTAAAATCATTTGTACTTGCAATTTGCCTGAGATCCTTTTGTTCTCAAAGTCATTAAGTATTTATCATATATTACCATGATTAATGTATGATACCAAGCATTCAACAGAAAATGTCTGAGCACAAAATTAAAGGAACACGGTGGGTGTGTTTGTTTTTTAAGCTTTCTGGTGCTACATAATGGTTAAAGGTTTCAGCAGAAACACGAAAACATTTGGAAACAGTTAAAGTCTGGTCTTAAATTTTGTCTTATGTTAAATGACAGTACAAATGAGAGAATTTGGAGTTCTAGACAGCTGGAGACTTTTTCCCTCTCGGTATCTGTGTCTGAAATACAAGTTGGATATTTGGAAGACTGTATGGAATGATTTTACATCTCTATAATAAAGTACTATGGTATTTTGTGTAGCTGACATCCAACATTTTAACAAAGAGGGTAAATCCTTGTGATTATTGAGGCTTTGTTTTGCTTCTATTTTAGTTGTACCCATATGTCTGCTTAAACAAATTTTTAAAGACTTAGTGGCACAAAGCTGCCAGCTACACATTCCAAGATATGAATGGAGAAAAATATCTTCAGGATTTCCAAAAGGGCTCAAATGGCACAAACGGTATTTGGAAACTTCTTGATAAGAAATAAATGGAGAAAATTAGGTCACAATTTCTTTTGTAATAGGTCTATTTCTTTTCAGTAGTCGTCTTAATATTCACGACTTGAATATGCTACGAAACCTGGGCATGCTGTAATTTTCCTCAAGTGAAATTTAGATTTGTGGTTTAACAAAGATGTTACGAGGTTTCTATAGGATTATACGCAGGCTCACGGAAACTTGGTTTTAAGGGATTGAGTACATGTTTTAAAGGCAGAGGGTCTGCAGGTACGGCAGAGAGGGACTGCGGATGCTACAAATGCGAGTGCTACTCTGGAACTGCGTCTTTGTTTTTGTGAGCCTCTGAACAAGGAGGCTGGCAACTTGGCTGCAAACGGTCCGTGGTTTCTGTTCCCTCCTTGGTAAATATAAATAAGCGTCAGTAAATCTTTATTGGTAAGCAAAGCCAAAACTGTTGGAATTATGGAGAGCTGAAATGTAGTGCCAGAAGGAGCACTCCGGATCCTGGTGATGTTGGCAAAGCTGTTCCTTGACTTTCTTCTGATTTTGTTAACTTTTAGAGCAAGAGTACAGAGATCACAGCTT